TAGCGAAATGACACGACCCTGGGAGAATTGGAGTTCAGCCTCGAGTGCCCACCTCTGCTTTTCGGTGGTTTCCCACAAATGTGCTCTATCCTGCTCTGCTAGCAAGGCCCGCTCGGAGTTCGTTCATAGCTCTAGCTCTTTCTCGCTAGCCTCCTTGGTGAGTCTGGCCACTGTCCTTTGGAGCTCTTTAACCTCATCTCCTCTCTTCTCCAACTCGGCCTTCTGGAAATCCACCGTGCGAAGCATAGCATTCCTCTCAAATAAATATTGGTTCGCCTAGACGGTGGATAGGTTCTTCTCTGCTTGTGCGACTTTTAAGTCCCGCTTAAGCCGCACGTTCTCTTCTCTCAGCTCGACTAGCCCCTCAACTGCCCTTAACAAAGTCTTCTGCTGGGCCAAGTGCATGGCGAGCAGAGACTGCAAATCGAAAAGAGCAAAAGGTTAAATTCTTTTCCATTAAAAAGTAAGGAAATGTAAGAAAGTCCTCGACGAGGACAAACCATTTTACCTAACTTTGATGCTAGAAGGTCGTGGCACTCCAACAGGGTGAACATCACTGGCTGCAAATGCTATGGGAATTGCCTCATGGAGTCCAGCACGGGAGTGCCTATTCCGACCACAGGTGGCACCTCGCCCGCTGGTTCCTTGCTCGCTCTCCTCCCGGGATCTGTGACTTCCTCTTGCCTTATTGGCAGACCCTCAGGGGCAATGGTGATGCCGGTTGTGCCCTTGGGAGGTCCTTTCGAGCGAAAGGCCTGGTAAGGTTGTGACCTCCCGGGCTGAATGCCCAAACCCTCTGACTCTGACTCTGACTCTGACTCTGACTCTGACTCTGACTCCTCAGCCCGAAGCTGTTTCCTCTTTTTTTACTTCTAGGCCATCATCTTCTGCTTGGGGCAAGCAGCCGCAGGTTGGGGAGCACCCATTGGTCGAACCAACCCACCCATCGGTGTCTCTCCAATGGGGGGACCGTTTGGAGCTGCCCTAGATGGTCCTATGGCACCAACACGAGGAAAGGAGAACTCCTTAGCTCTCAGTGACCTGGGTACCTTGGGTGGCATGATCGCTCCATGCGAACATCGTTAACAAAACAGTTCGCCCCATGCAAATAACAAAGTTGGCTAAAGTTACTGATACTTACTCGGTAAGGTTTCTAAGGTCATTAGGGTTGAAAAACTCATATTTTCGCAGATTCGCGGTTGTCACAAGCAGCCTCGCGTCGCGACTCTGTTCGGGTAGAAAACCAAAGGCGGTTATTCTGTTGAAATCGACGAGAGCTGCCAACTTGGTCGTCTTGTTTATTGCGAAAAAACAAAGAAAGCTCTTTAAATTGGCAAATGCCATCATAGTGAAAAAAAAGAAAAATTTCGTCTCATACGCCCCGACGTTGCTAAGGTAACTGTGTATTCTTCCCCCGATCGTAGATCGCTTCGAGAGGTAAAAAGAGTCATTGTCCTTACTCTTCTTCAAATAGTATGAGCAGCCAAGCTCTAGCGCGGTCAGCTCGCCTAGACCGTTCTCGCCACATGCGATATATATAGCCACTACTATCATATACGCATTTGGTGTCAACTGTAACGGCGTGACCCCAAAGTAATCGAGGACCGACCTTATGAAATGGTGAAAGCGAATCAATGCTCCGCACTTAAAAATGTTCTCGGAGATCGCAACTATTCCTTCTGGCGGATTCCAAGCTGTATACGTCCTATGCTGATAGACATCTACGCTAAGTGCATATTGGTCTACCGCCTTTTGAATCTCCTCTACTGTGGCTATTGACAAGTTTTCCTGTGAGGGACCCTCTGGGGCATCCTACACCGACAAGTCGTTCCCTCATCTGTCCTGGTTGCTGAAGAGTCCATTTCTTCTATGATCTGAAAAAGAGCGACATGCAGGAATTACTCAATCGTCGTACAGATTTCTTACGATGACGTGGAAGAAAAGGTACACACTATCTTCCTTAAACCCTAGAAAAATCCTAAGAATCCTTGGGGACCACCCCAAAGACTCAAACCCTAGAGGAAAGCCTCTTCTCCGATTAACCACCAGCAAACGCCCACCATTATCACATGGTTATCATGAAAACCAAAAAGAAAAAGGAAAGTAATGAAAGAATCATCTTTACCTCTTGAGTATGAAGATGAAACTTCCTGTTGTGAATGTCAAGTGCGCACCAATATGGGAGGTGGAAAATTTGGTCTCACGAAAGATTCTTGCTCTTCTTGAATAAGTGAGTATTGTGACATTGCTTGAGGTGGGCCTAGGATTTTATAGTGAAGAAAGTGGCACTTGGTTTTCCCGAAGTCAAGCGACGTTTGAACGGAAATCATCTCTCGCCGTTGATCGCGACCACGTGTCATCAATCAACAGGGAAAAGTAATCGCCACGCTTCAAGAAATCGAATCGTCGCTTCCTTTCGTTGAAAAAATTGAGCGACGGCTCGTTTCCCTCCTCCACATTAAATGCACACTCATCCACATTTAATGTTCTAATAAGGAATTTCGTTTTAGCATGGCTTACATTTAATGCGCATGGCTGACACTTATTGCACATAGGAAACATCTGTTAGAGCAAAAGGTGTTTCATTAATGTATTAGCTGCCAAAGAGCAACAGATAACATCTGAAGAGGTCATTAGGTAAAACACTATTTATCGCATATGTTGCGAAGCGATGTGACTCCTTGCCTTCAGCAAACAATATGCTAAGTATAACCAGGTCGCGAACCTCAGTCAAGGTAAGAACGCCATCAATATGGCACTAAATAAGGTCTGGTCTGGTCCAGGTCATAGGCCTTACGGAAGAAGACCATTTCAGGTCGCCTATATGGGAATGTCTTGCGACCTCCTTGCAGCCAGGTCGGATCGATCGGGCGTCATTCGGCACATATCAAATCAAATGCATAATGGTGTAGTTCTCAAGGTTCGATTCTCAAACCTTAAAAACTAGGGGACTTTTGTTATGCTTGGAAAAATAGGGCTGACGTAGAAGCTTTGTCAGCATGGGTGGTCAAAAGCTTAAGAAAGTTCTACAACCGCTCGATGTGGCCACGCAGCGTGATGACGTGAGCAACATGCTCTTGCCAGTGTAGTAAGTGTATGCCAGGTTGGCAAATAGTTAGAAACGATCCACGTGTCCAATCCCTGCACGAGTCAAGGAAATCACGTGGGTAGGTGAGCAATGGGACGCAGAGATGGATTTACACGATATTTACCCCACTCGCAGATTTAGTAATCATTACCTTGGTTCATCCCACTATAAATAGATGACTTCTCTCCCATTTGTGGAATTGGCTAATTTCTCTCTTAAAAAGCTTACTCTCTCTCTCTCTCTCTCTCTCTCTCTCTCTCTCTTATATTCTCAAAGCTAAAACTTAGCTCGCTAAACGCGACCCGACTATACTCATTAGTACAGTATTAGTAGACTTAGGATTCGCCTTGCGAGCATCCGAACCACTTTAAACGTTGTTCTTCTCTCTTTATTCAATTAAACATTTCCATAATCACATGTGACTTCTAAGCCCGCTCAACATTTCTCACGTGCGAATAGTTGGTGTCAAAATCAAGCATCAACAATTTATATCTTTAACTTTACACTAATCGTAATGTACTCACAATGCATTACCCAATGGAATTTCAATTTCCATATATTGTTGATCAGGCTTATCTTTCAAACGAATTTAAGCGCAATTTAGAGACCACACCAGTAATTGTAGGCCCAAAACAGTTTAAAAAGCTCTCCCCTTATTTGTTTAACTTTTTCCACCCTATTCTATTCTACTATCATATTCTAAAAAGTGAAAAACATATTTGTTTTAATATTATTCAAAATCCAATCATATTCTACTCAACTTAAAACATTTAACAATTATTGTTCTCAATAAAAGTTTATAAATTAATAAAAAAACTCTCATCCATCTAAGTAACAGTCGCTTGCCAACATCCACCGCCAGCCGCCAGTTGCCACCGCTACCACCATCGATTGTTGGCATCGAAACGACGCACGATCGGCCGAAGCTGGCCAATCTATTTGTTTTCGACCATATCCACCTTGGATCTAGCTGAAAACAGCCACATCTACGACCAAGGATTTGGAAATTTGGTTGTCATCAATGGTCATATCTTGGCCATCATTTGACCATAGATCTGGCAAAAAACAAACAAATATAGCCGATCATGCACTATTCTAACAACTTTCGACCACCGTCAAATGGCGGTGGCCGACTATCAGTAATCAGTTAGGTAGGTGAGGGTATTTTTGTTCATTTATAAACTTTTATTGTGGGTGGGTGTTTATCTAAATTAACAAATGTAAATAGTTAAAAAAATATTTTAAAAAATGTATCAAACACATTATCAGAATCTTATCCAATTTAATTAAATCATATCATATCCTCTTTAAAATATAAAATTATTCAAAAAAGTATACCAAGAGAAGCCACATGATTTTTCCCTTTACATTCATTTCCATTGTACTTCCACTTGATGTGGGCAGGTCAATAAAATAAAACTTGCTGCGCTTAAAGTCCCGCATCATCCTGATGAGAGGATACTTGAGTGTTTAAATAGAGTTAATAGGTCCCAATAGATGTGTTTTGGGCTCGAAGCCCAAAAATAAAACGGTGTATAACACATTATCAACATGAGCATAATGCCATCCAAAATAATGGAAGAATGAATGCGAAAAATCTCGTCATATTTACTTTTACTTTCATTTTCTCTCACGTCACTATATCTTTGTAAGATTTTGTTATATGCCTAGAATTATTGTTAAAAGCAACATGTCCAGCTTATGTATCTTTTATTCAATTTAGAATCTTGTATTTTAAATTACAATAACGATCGACCATAAAATAATCTTATAAACTTTTTCTTATAACTTTAAATAAAATTAGTTATAAACTAATTTTATAAACTTTTTCTTACAATCTCGACATGATAGTTTGTAATCAATAATGTAACAATTGAACAGACGGGATCTATATATTTTAAATATATTTTATTGGGTTATAATTCTTAACCCCAATTTCTAATAAATATATTAACTTTATATCACATAAGCGGTAAGCCTCCATAAAAGATTTTGTAAAACCCTAACAAGAACCGCATACAGAGTCTGAGAGAGATGACGCAGAAAGGGAACCTATTCAAAGGCAAACAAAAGAAGAAAGTAATAGCTCCCAACCGCCATGGAAAAGCCGTTCAAATTCGCAAAGGTAAGTCTGTCTATGTTCTGTATCTAATAATACTATCTGTCTATTTTTGTTTCTTGGTTGAATTGTAAGGATGTATTTTATGTTCATTTATGAAGGGAAAAGAGTTGTCAAGCCTTCAAAGATTACAAGAGACATGGATACTGATAGAGTATGTTCCATTTTTCAAACTCTTTATTGAGGCTTTATATAAACCCTTTATTTATTTTTTCAAATTTTTATTTTCTGTATTTGTTTGATGTGAAGAAGGCATAAGAATAGGCAGTTAGAGTTTTGATAAATAATTTGTGCTCAAAAAGCAAATTATTTTACAGTAAAGAAGGGCGATTGTATTTGTGTATGTTTTTAGCACCAAAAATCCACGATCTCCTTGCTTTGGTATGAGCATTTTGAACTATTAAATACTGATTTTAGCTATAATTATTGGTCTAATATAAGTACTGATATTTTAGCTGGTATTTCACTGTGATGTTTGGTTCTGTTAGGCACTATGTCTAGAATTGAGGCCATTTCACAGTGATGGTATTGTTGTTATGGGTATTACTTGAGAGTGTTATATTGTGAAGCATGATTTGGATCAGGGCTATAGTTATTTTGTTCAGATCTCTGGGTTTTCAAGAAGGTGGGATAAGTTGATGATTATTCACTTGGCTGATGATGTGTGTGGTTTTTTCATAAAGGTTATGGTATTCTGGTCTGTTTGCTGAAGTTGATTTTACAATATTAAATTTCTGGAGACCTTTGTCACTGGAACCAAGGTTGCCAATAGGAGCATTTCTCTTTACCTTTTGTATTTTTGTCTGGATACAGTGAGGAGTTCCTTCTCCAGATTTGGTGGATGGGACTGAGTTTTTTCATTCTCCTCTCTGCTTTCTGGACATTCAACGGTGTTCTGTTAGTTCCTTTTTGGGCCAAAGGAGTGGTGGTGGGTTTTTTTACCCCGAAATTCAGGTCATGTCACTGTAGACAATCATAGTTTCATTGTCAAAGTTTGTTTAATTTTTGAAGACAAATATTTAGGAGGTATCAAAGAGGATGAAAACATCCATAATTTGAATTTTGCTATTTTTGATCATAAAAGGAGCATATTTTAATAGCAAAAGGGATACTTGGTTTCATTGTTAGACTCAACTGGAATAGATTTTGCAGTCTCATCTTGTCAAGACCAAATTTTTTTCTTCCTCGGTTGAATTTTTAGTTTCTTTTGTAATATTTATGCCCCTGATTACACTTTATTAGCACATTACATCTATGATGTTGTGATATATCTTTTTAAGTTTACCATAATTAGTACTAAGGTGAGGAGGGGCCAGTTAGTTTAAAGGCATTAATGTCTTACAAAATGGGCTCAGTAGGAGAGTTTGCTGGGTCTGTCCTATGTAATTTTTTTTCTTATATGTACGTTAAAAAAAAGCTGGAAAGATTCTGCAGCTAGAAATATTCTGTAGTGTGCATATTATAAGTTTCTTGTAGTTCTTTCAGTTTTTTAACTAGCATATTTGTCAAGAAACACTGCATTAAGATGGACTGTGAAGCATGGCCAACTCTTGTAGCATTGGTCTTTTATTTCCATGTTGTGTATTATTACAGAGATATGTTCAGCCATATAGACCTAAGCATTTTTTGTTGAATATGTCACTGTTACTATTCTTCTTTTCTTACTCTGCAAGATAACACATTATTGACTAGGTAATATCATTAACTTCATATCAAGGTAACTTCATTAGCATTGGTCTTTTATTTCCATGTTGTGTATTGTTGGGGTTTTCTAGACTATAAACAATGGGTTAACATTTTGTGCCCAATTATTATCACTTTGAAAGTGAGTATTGGACATGAACCGGAAATTTGTTTGTACTTGAATACGTCGCTGTTACTATTCTTTTTTCTTACCTTGCAAGGTAATCAATTATTGACTATGTAATATCACTAATTTCGTGACACAGCAACTGCCTGGAAACATACCAAAAGATGTTATATTTTTTCTTGACTATAAACAGTGGGTTACATTATGTGCTCATCTTTGGTTGCTTTGAAAGTGTATTATTTTGAAGTCATATTCCCATTAATGTTTGATTGAACCTGAAAAAGTTGATTAAGGCTGCCTACTAGCATTCAATTTTTCTTCCAGGGATATGAAACTCATTGTATCCCATCCCTTTAACTCCAATCTCCTTCTTTTTTTTTTTTTTTTTTGACACATTCATATTGCTAATGGCATTGCCTTCTCTTATATGATGATTTCAGGAACTGACCAAATTCATAAATCACTGCAACGAGGTGAAGGCAGCTACCCTTGCGAACAAGGAAGGTGGCCAACTAAGTATTGTCAAAACGTCAGCTGGGTCCACTGCTAACAAGAAGGATGAAAAACCCGGCTCTGATTAAGCATAGATATAAAACGTTTTTGGAAATACAAACTAAACCCGGTTCCTGTTGTAATGTGTTCTTAATCTCTGTGTTTTGAAGTTGAGATCTGTAAAATTATATACCAGATTGAACAGAATGGAACAAGGTTCAACAGTTTTGATCAGATTGTTGTTGTGGGCAATGTTTTAAAAACTAACAGGGGGTTATACCCGGCAAAGAAGTCGGGTCTCGGGTTGACCGGTTGGTCAAACCGGTGATGTGTCACCTAAAAAAAATCAAATTTTTTTGAATCGGTGCACGTTAGCATAGTCACAGTTTTTTACGCATGTCAGCACGCATCTAGTCGGTGGGGCCGGGTTTCAAAACAATCTGGTGGGTTCTGATTCTTACCATGAGGGTGCCCTCTTCATAAAATTTCCCATCTCAATTATGAATGATTATTAAAAAGCTATGGACATGGTGAAGTGGATCCAAGTCATCCACTTTTGACTCAACAATAGTCACGTTTATCTGACATCATTTAAATCCAACACATGTTCAAGTTGATTTCAGCTTTCCAGGCACGTGCCAATTCCAACGCTCAAATATTTTACAGTATCAGAGGCTCTTCCCCTACCACCTGTCAAGCTTTAACTTTAGTTCTCTTTATATGTTCCTTTATTTAGATTTGTTTCGGGGATCACTGGAATACGTATCTGATATGTGTTGTGGTGGATAAATGTGATTTGTGAATACTGTATATATTTTTAAAGTGTTTGAACTTTGAAAGCAACGATTCTGGAATTCTATTCTGTTGGGTTCATGATATGATATTGAATTTTATGCCCACATTGCATAGATCAACCAATTTTTTATGTTCATGACCTACCACTTTGAAGATTTCTGTAACCCATTTAATATTCATGGAATATAACAGTTTAACTTGGCTCCATTATTTATTCCATGTTCATAACTCCATCACCCACTTCCTGTTTGGTATCATAACTTCAAAGCCATTAATAATAGGTTTTGTTCTTCTACCACCCTCTGAGTTTTGGCACCAAAAGTTTTTTTCTCCCCCAATTTTGGGAAACTAATATTATCACTCTTGAATAAAGTCAATTTATGTACACTTCAATTAATTCTCAAAATCAATTGAACACCTTACAAGCTTAATAGTTTAAGGTAAGTTATAATATGGTAGGTGGTCCCACAGTTCGAATCGAAGAAGTCGATAAAAGAAAACAAACTTCTTTGACCGTCAAACCAACTCCTTGAGATTCTCAAATAGTATTTCTATGAGTTAAATGCAGCGGTTTAAGGTAAAAAAAAGTTATTTTGAATAAACCGCTAATGTTTTTGTCAAACAATTGATAGTTTTAGACAAACGACTCTATTGTGAAAAATGGTCAATCGTTTGACCAAAACTGTTAACCATTTATTCAAAAAGTCCAGTGTACCCCTATATCATTGTATTAAACTGATGAAACCTCTATTGGTGGTAAGTTTCCCAAATTGGTGACCGCGAAAACATTGGCCCACCACTATACCCCCAATAAGATATCTCATTTATTAAGTATTTAACGAGTTTGAATTCACATTTACAAATTTGAAGTACAAAACTTGTGGATCACACAATCTTCATTAATTAATTTGTACATATTCTTGATAAAAACTTACTAATGATAATTAAATGAGAATTCAAAAGGGAAGCAACAATGGGATAGGAGGTTGTAGTGCCTTACACGGCCTGCGGAAGTATGTGGAAATCAATGGTGATGTAATATGATAGAGCTTATCCTACTTTCCTGTCCTTTTCCTCCCCAAGAAAATTTTTAGACCCTTTTTTCCATTTCACTTTCTCTTCCTCTTCCTTCTTTTTACCTTTAGAAAATTCAGGCCATAAAAATTTTCTTTTTTCACCTTTCAATATTCCCGAACCCGAAATCATTATTACGTTTAGGTCCACATGTTTTTAAGACTCAACTCAAACATCATTCATTTCATCCATGAAATCTCGCCACCTTATCCGAGGCTTTTAATGCATTTATAAATTTTTTTTAAAGTTATTTGTGGGTTTTCTTCGATGATATTTGTAATTTCGAAAGACTTATTATAGTTGTTGAAGTTTGTTTTACCACTTAAAGACTTAATAATCTCTCGTAAATGATATAGTTAAGTTTGTACATAATTTAAAATAAGTCAAATTAACAGTAAAATTTTGTATTAAAATTCTAGATTATTTCTTTTTTTATGATCAAAAATGTCTGAACCAATTTATGCGTATCTCAATTAATCATTCGGAATTTTGGAACTAACAGTCAGATAAAAGCTTTAATAATCATATCTATTAGGGACGAGATGAATCAAACTTAAAACATTTTGAATAATATACCTAAAATGATTACCCATCCACTATGGTGATATCCGGATATCAGTATTGTACTTCTAAAAATGCTTATCTCAAGTCTATTCAGATGGAATAAGGATTTTTTGATAATTAATAAAAAATAAAATCTTACTTAAATAATCCGAGCCGTCAAATGTATCATCATAACACCATTCATCTCTAACACAGTTCGCCTCACTTTACACCTTACATATGCAATCAAAACCCACGCTCCACTCGTGTGCCACGTGGAAAAAACCACATGCACTAATCTCCCCAATGATTCGGCCGTAAGTTCACGCGCTCTTGTGAAAGTGAGCAGAATATGCAAACAGGCGGTCCCCACCTTGTTGTGATACTGTTGGTAATAAAAAAGAACTGATAATGTTGTAACAGCCAGAACAGGGACAAAGCATTTGGGCAATAGCATAACATCATCATCATAATACAATCTAAAATCAAATCCAACTACAGTTTAGACGTCCTCACTAACTCCATCGCCGCCGTTTCCTGTAAATTATCTGACGTCATCACCGCCGCCATGGGTGCTGCTGACCCTCCTGTAAGATAACGAAAACAATAACTCTACTCTCCTTTTTTTAATTCATTTGCATGTCTTCATGTCATGTTTATGTAAAGTTTTGGTTTTTATTAATTAATATTATGTTTACATGCTTGTGAACTTACAAGAATATTATTTTTCTTTTTTTTTTTGTGTGTGTTAGGTGGAAGAGAGAGAGAGTCAGAAGAAAGAAGAAGGAGAAGAAAGAGAAGAAAGAGAAGGGAATGGGAAGAAAGAAGAGGAAGAAGATGAAGATTATGATGAAGAAGAAGAAGAGAGAGTGAGGGATGTGGAGAAAGGGGAGATGGGTCATGTGGAGTCTGTGGAAGAAAAGGTGGTGGAGGGAAATGATAACAATATTCGTGGTGATCAAAGAGGGTTTAATGTGTCAATGTTACGAACATTGAACCCAACAAACCCATTGAGGATTGTTATCAATGGTGGCCGTACAAGAGCTGCCGCTCCTACAAGAGGTGTCGCTCCTACAAGAGGTGTCGCTCCTACAAGGGGTGCCACTCCTACAAGAGGTGCAGCTTCTAGAGTTGCTACTCCTTCTCCTTCTCCTTCTCAGCCTTCTCAGCCTTCTCAGCCTCGCTCTACTCCAACACCAACCTCACAAGTAAGTTTTACACTAATAATATTTTTTTTTTTTGAGTATTTTTCAGGTTAAATCTCTACATGTTTATTCGCAGTTCTTATTAATATGAATTTATTAGTCCGTTTCTTAGGTTTACAGAGGAGTCTGAGTTGATGCTTAATTTTCAAGTTATTAATCTAAAGTTTTCGGTGTGTTTTTCTGTCTTTGACCAGATATCACTAACAACATTGAATTCAACAAGGTACACCAACAAGATATCTCTGTTTATTTTTGTTCTTCACATGGTGGTGGTTGTTGGGCTAGTGGGTTTTCTTGTATTCAAGGGAATTCAAGGTCTATTGGTAGCATCAGACTCTATTAAAAGAACAGAGAAAAGGGTGTTGGAGTATTTTCTGCCACAAGTTGAAGCTGCATCTCTTTTAAGCATTACTCTTGCTTTTGCTTGGCAAAAGGCTGTCAGGGTTTGGCCTCAATTCATGGTTCATTTCATACTATGGAGCTCCTTCCTCATGTCACTTTCAGCTGGAATTCTCCTAGTTTGCTTCCAAAAGCCCGCCACCGAAGGCATTGGAGTTTGCTTTATTGCCTTTGCAATTGGTAATGGCTTATATGCTTGTTGGGTTAATCAGCGAATTGGGTTTTGTACTAAAGTTTTGATGAAATCATTGCAACCTGTTTCGAAGTTTCCAGATTTGAATCAACCCACCTATTGGATGCTGGGAGCTGGTTTCACATGGATGTCTATATGGATTTTAGCTGTTGTTGGAGCCTTGAATTTTTACTTTCCGCCTTTAATCATCATTGCATTGGGGTTGAGCTTGGCCTGGACTACAGAAGTAATGAGGAATGTTGTTAATCTAACAGTTAGTAGAGTGATTGCTCTGTATTATCTCAGGGGAATGCAATCTAGTACTCAATTTTGCTTCCAAAGAGCCTTGACTAAGAATCTTGGAAGTGCTTGTCTTGGATCTCTATTTGTGCCGTCTATTGAAGCTATGAGAATTGTTGCCCGGGGTTTAAATTTACTTGAGGGAGAAGATGAGTTCATGTTCTCATGTGCACATTGCTGTCTTAGAGTTATGGAGTCCATCTTCAGATATGGAAATGGCTGGGCCTATGTACAGGTATTGTTGCTAATAATAGCCATTAACATTAGTGTTTTTCCTTAGTTTTTTCTCCATGTCATGTATTGTGTGATGTGTCTATAAGTAGCATATAGTTTCTGGTAAGGAGTCCATCAACTGAAGACAGAAAAATACCAGAACTAACATGGTGATTCTGAATAGAACGGTTTTGCTAATTGATCACTTGGTTGCAGAAATTTTACTGCTTATTGTCAGTTGAATTTTGATAATATGGATGACTGATATGTTTCCATTTCTATCTAGAACATAAGATAACATGGGTGTGACTTCTTGCTCAAAGTTCCTACTCATTGTGGCTTAGTTCTCAGAAATTTGTTTCTGAAAGTTTTGAACGAAGAGTATTTGATTTTATTCCATCCAGGGAAAAATTCGAGGAGCCATTCTCAAAATATTATTGAATTCCAACATTTTTGATTGTCCAAAATCCTTCTAAGACAGTAGCACATGCTTTTCTTTACTAGTTCAATTAATTTTTACTTCTTTTTCTTTGTTTCCCTTTTATCTGAAAGCATATAGAAAAACTTGTTGTCAGTTTATATAGAATTGTCAATTCCAAATTTTGGGATAATGCTGTTGCAATCAATATTTTGAAATTTTGCCTGTCATTGTGGTCCAACCTTAGTTATTTATAGAACAATATTCGGTGTTAAGGCCTTAACTTTAATTTATTTTGGGATGTAATAATTCCACATTCAAACCACTACACAGATAGCTGCATATGGCAAGGGCTTTGTGAAGGCATCACAGGACACTTGGGAGCTGTTTGAAAGGCAAGAAATGGAAAGCATTGTTGACTCAGACATGACCAGTGCTCTTTGCTTCCTTACCGGAGTCTGCAGTGGTTCTATATGTGTCATAGTTGTGGCTGCTTGGACCACCAAGGTGCACCAGTCCTTCACCGCCACCATCTCCCTCCTTGCTTTCTTTGTGGGATACCTCATGGTAATTAGCTTCCCTTTTTGACTAGTCTTTTTATGCCATTTATTCTAATTACACATTTCAATGTCAATATGATCAACTTGGTTATTCTTCAATATCTGTAATCCTCACATTGAATTGACTTGGTTATAAATTTTGGTGTTTCAGACCAGGATTTCAATGGCATTGCCTCATGCCTGTGTGAGTTGCTACTATGCATGCTATGCGGAAAACCCTGCGAACAGATTGTTCGATTCAATGATCAAGGATCGTCTCTCCTTGATAAAAGCTGGTCGTGATGTCATCGTGCCAACGCCTCGAGTTCCACATCGATTCAACACGTAGCTCATAAGTTAAAAAGGCATGTTCTTTCCTGTAAATTTCCCAAATGTTATGAACATGGCTTGACTTGAGTTTAGCACCCTATAAACTGTACTATGCACCAGTTGACCTAAACGGGGTCTGTTGAATCCAAGTAACTAATTGAAGTCCAGCCAAGTGATCCAGAATCGTTGAGGTGGAAATGCTGGTGGTGACAACAAATTTTGATAGTGAAATATCGAACTTTTTCTTGGATGTTATTGATAATGGAGGAAATGTGGAGAGCCCACTAAGATTCCAATCAAACAAGGCTACAATGACAAAAGTGTCCTTTTGTATCATATTTTTGCATATACTTTTGGCATATTCGATGGTAAAAAGCCCCACTATTCAATTTTTTTTATGACTTTTGATCTTATAATATTTTAAGTATATTTTTCAACGAAATCTTTTAAGAATCTGCATGAGCTGTATTAGCTGAATGTTGAAGCCATGTTACAGGATTTAAATATTGGGTTACCTCTTTACAAATCTAGAATAATGCAAGAGTGGAGGCAATGTGTTAGGCGTGGCTTAATTTTATTAGTATCAAAGATTTATTAAACAAAGGAATTCGGTTAGGTTTCGTTTTGCATAAAAACAAAGAAATGGAGTGGTTAAAGCCATGCGGAGAACGTAACTTGAAAAAAAAGGCTGTTTCTTAACCAGCTTTCAACTGTCAATTTGGAAAGGAATAGACACGAGAACTGATGCAAAGAGGCCGCATATGTTGAATATGATTGACAGCCACCAACTTGGCAGTATACAAATTTTGAATACAAACGGTTGACCATGGTCCATGATCCAAGGGCTCTTAATGGCCGGGTAATCGTAGTAAGTCCACCATCTTCTGGTGGGTCAAGGACTCGAGGGTTTTGTTCTATTTCTAATTTTCTATGGAGTAAGTTAGAAGAAACCAGGAATTTCAAGGACTGATACGCATGCTCTTGCACCATCTCTACAAGTAATTTCCTTCAGTATTCAAAGTATCTTCTGGTAACATCCTTCAACAAATTGACTTGTATGATTTTATGTTTGCATTTTGTCAATTCAATTATACGTTATATGGTAACAATGTAATATACAAATACAACAACAGCCGGTGAAGGTTGTAATATAGATATTTCAAAATGAACATGTTTGGGTTCAAAAATGGCATCACAAACTAACCAAAGAAAAACCCTAAAGATTTTTTACTCAAGGTTAATTCATCTCTACCAATACAATTTCATATATTTTAAATTTTTATTTATTTACTCAAGGTCCATTCCAGCTACAACAGAAAGCTAGGCATAAACCAGATAAATAATGTCAAATGTACAACAGATAGTAAAACCCCACATATCAAAGATAAATATCCAGGTCAAATCTCAAAGAATTTTACCCCACATATCAAAGAATGTCTAACTAATGGGGTACATAAAAAAGGATCCAAGTAACCCTGAAATCAATCATTCCTATCATCTATGGAAATCAGATTTGTGAGACCACACACCATCAATCCGGAAGAAAACGTAACACGAAACAGATACAATTCTCACCAATTTTAAACTGTGACTTATTTATGTCAAAAAAAAGAAAGGGGAAATGAACATCAATTGTTGTATAAACCCAACAAATATGCATAAGATAATGTGAGAAACATGTTTCTTGCTGTAGTGTAACTCCCATTATAAGAAAAAATGGCCATCAATGAACCGTTAAATAATAATATGCACAAAAAACAACACAGGAAGTATAGATACCATTTAATAGCTACCTTCAGGACAGTAATTCGATATGAGTAGTAAACAGAAATAACCACGTGACTCCTTGTCCAGTGTATTATTACGAAACACATTATAAATATTCAATACCACCAATAATGTTTTAACAAACACGATGAGAAAAACCATAGCTCCCATTTCTCCAAATACTAACTTTACCTCCAGTCATCACCCATTTCTTGAATCTGATTTCGTGCTGGCTTTCGAATCTGATTTTGAGTCTCCTCTTGCCTCAACACTCCTTGCATCTGCACTTTTTACCTCACCAGAACAACACCCACCACCATGGTGATGATGATGATGATGGTGATGGTGGTGATGGTGGTGATGCTGTTGCTGCGCATGGTGATGAGTCTGCTTTCCCTTTAGCTGCTTTCGCATATCATAAGCATCCTCCCCATCAGCATAGTACTTTGCCTCCACATCATGAATTTTATAACCTAAAGTTTCTGTGTACAAATTAAACGCTGCCCTATTACTCTTCCTGACATGTAGTGACACATACTCAGCTCCAAACACCTGCGCCACCTCACTTTAAAAATAAGTAACATAATAATTTATGTCACCTACAGTTTTTGCTAATCTTTAGTTGTTTAAGTTTATCCCCAGAGCTAAATGACTACAGAAACTAAGGCTTTGCCTCAAGGAGATCAAATTAACTTTCAAGATCATTTTAAAATTTAATTAGCATTTTAAAATAAGGCAATATACTATGAGAAGCTAAGCAAGTTCTTGATATGAAATTTAAATAAAATTCCTCATTTCGCAAAACCCGGGATACAAGCAATTATAGTGTTTAGTTGAAATGTTTTCAAAAACATTTTTCGGGTATAAAAAAAAAAAAAAAAAAAAAATTCCTTTTTAATCCTAAAAACATTTTTTGAATACCATATCACACACTTTCTGATATTAAAAAATATTCAGATGCAACTCATATTTCTTAATTTCATCTTAGTTTTTGGAAATTATTTTCTCAGCACCATCCTTACAGGCACTGAAAAGTTAACAGAAGTTTTAATTTACAAGCAAGAAAAGCAATTGAACAAAAATCATCCTAAGCTGCCCAAGTATTCAGCTTTAATAAGCAGTTCAACACACTCGCACTTCTCACATCCTAATTCAACCATTCGTGTTAATTTTACCAATAGCCTNTTACCTAACTCAGAAACAAACGTTTGTATTTATAGATGTGTTGGTTACAAGTTTGAATTTTAAAATACAGAAAAACCTGCTAACAGACTTAGCTAACCTGCTAACAAACTTAGCTTAAGATTATAACAAACTAATTTAAATTTACAAAACTGTTTTACAGCTTCAACATCTGCGAGATTGATGGATAAATCTTCAGAAGTTGTTAATTAGAATTGTGGAGATCTTGAGTCAAATCTTCAGGAGTATTGAGTCTAACACAGCTTAACCTGATGAAACTCACTTCTCTTGAATCTTTAGAATTCAATGGTTGTTTCTTTCTCTCTTGCTCAATCCGAGACTATTTTCCTATAACACTTAAAAAATTGAAGATTATTAATTGTACAAATACAGAATTAGTGATCACGGTATTGATGAAAATTCTCAAGTTTCAGAAAAAAAAAAAAAGAACAAATTTGTTATTATAAAAATTAATAAAATGGGGTTCTTTCGTCTGTTAGTGGCCTGTGTTTAATTAAACGATTCAGCTGCAGTCAATAACATTCTTCCTGATCAATAATATTAGGTTACACAAGATAAGAAAATGGATGTAAAAGGGGTTCTGGAAACGACTGCATTTGGTGACCATTTATACAGATACATTTGAAGGTATATCCTCTCACAAGTCGAACTTCCAGAGTCTAATGTACTTGTCATGGTGCGTGGTGACAACTTTTTTCATCCCAACAGCCAAACATGTGATGGGAGGTCGAGTGCTTCTGGGAATTCTGTCGATACGGGTACCTTCTGAGAGTCTTGCTCCTTTCTTTCTTTCAACTGCTGGAGACGCGTTTTCGGAGGAACTTGATACTGCGCTAATGTCTGTGACACAGCTTGAGAGAACCTCTCCGGTATTCTGATCCAGCACACGTACACACCATCTATTCCACCAACTACTATTGTTGATGCATCATGTTGTAGGTGTTGCAAAGTGTAAATAACATTTGGACTTACTCGAGCCCCCCATAAAGGTTTCATTGTCCTGCAAGATCAATGGAGCACAATCAATTAAGACACCTAGACTTGTGACTCTTCAAAGTTAAGAATTATGACAACACCTAAGACTTGCTCAAAATGGCAGTTGGCCAAACAGCACAACCTTGACAATGAACAGATTCAGATACATTTTGTTTCTTCAGTATGGCTAGTTTCAACACTGGCACCTTGCAAGCTCAGTACCAAAGAGATCAATCAACTGTTAATTGTCATGTTTAGATAGTTGCATGCTTTGTACTTACACAAAGGAACTTACAGTAGATAACTTATCTTTACCTATCACCTACAACAGATTTATAGTAACCAAACAAGAGATTCGTTACAAACAAAGTTAACATTTACGTTGAAAGGATAGTCTAAAATGAGTGACATAACACCAAAAATGATTGATCATAGACACAGCCTGATAGACGCCCAACACACTATAGTCTCACATAACTTATTGATTTGGAAACCATCTGATATTTTATTGGATTCACATTCCCATAAGACCTTCTAGATTATCAAACAAATTAAGGCATTCTAGGTCATCATGAATCCTTTTTTCTGTGATTATTATATTACGCACAGATAGAACCGACAGAAAAGATCAATAAGACTTATCATCTATAACATACCCCAAAAAAAAGTCAGAGATAATAGAATTTATAAGTGTTTGGGTAAAATCACATTGTAAAGTATAACAGAAAGCTGTCTTTAATTTAAATACAACAATAAGGATGGTGAAGCAGTTAGTTTTTATGGGATCATACCTGATCACCTACACCAGTAAGAATCAAGCCTCTCTTCATACGGCACTGATCAACCCTAAAAGAAAGCACTTTTAAAACGCAATACCACACATCCATATGCCTATGCATACCAAAAGAGAAGAAATAAGATTCAATATCGGTTAAAAGCATATTTCATTGTGTTTTCATCATGGCAACAGAGTTTTGCATGATTAAGACCATAGGGGAGGCCTAAGAATAATGCAAACTCGGCAACACTCCTCTCAATGCTTACTCATCTCCTCAACCTACCCTTCTTTTCAATCCCACCCATCTCATTGTGATTTTTCAATTATGATTCCTTATTAAACCACTTCTAAAACCAATCCACACAAGTTCGGTGGCTAAGCAGGTTCATCTCTTGTCATAACCAAATCCCCTTGACATAAAACCGGTTTCATAAAAAAATAAACTTGAACCATTTAAAAAAAATATAAAGGCCTCTTATAAGTAAGCACCAATGCGGTATTAGTTCCAGACTTTCAGCAAATTGACTTGTAATAACTGTAACTTTGAGTGACATTTTAGCTGTTTAAAATGTTTTCAACGTCTAAAAGTACAATCGAATTAAAATTCCATGCAAATCAAAATAAAACAAGTGTGATAGGTTATTACGGGGATGAATGGCCGTTCCATGATTGATGTCAATGCGTCCTTTGACCAAAGACAACCTATGATGGTTCATAGCAAGCTCCTCCAGATACATCTCATTGAAGAACTCGAAGTATTGGAAAAGCCACGGAATCATCTGCAGCTTGTAATACAGTGCTTGCAGTAGCTTACATCTACTAATTATCGCATTCCTTCATCAAAAGAAATAATATCAAAGTCAATTACATTTGCTATAGTCAACGTGATTAATTTTAATAAATAGTTTATTATCCAGTTATGAAGATATTTACCAGGTCTTGCAAAAAGAGGAGCATCGAACAAGGTCGAAGAGTCCGAGAGATGAGAAGATTGTACAAAGGATGTCGCGATCGAGGAACTCGATAGTCGTAGGAGGTTTCGCGCTTCTCTTCTTCGACGGTGACCGACAACCGGAAGTTGTCAATTCCATGGGCGCCTCGCTGTCGGCAGCCAAGACACTAGTACAGTTTACAAAGTACCAGTGGCGCCAGCGGGGGAAGACAAAACAGAGACTCCGATTTCAGTTTAGTAATTAGGAAAAAGTAATTACAGAAGTACAGAAACAATACCTTTTGAGATTAAAACCGAGGTGTTCATCCCGTTGGATGATTGTATATGAAAGAATTATTTGGGTTGAGGCCAAAATTTTGTCCATATGGAGATACCACGTGGACTCCGGCCCATTACCCCAAGCCTGAGGTTCTTCACCTTCAACTTAACCTAGAAAACAACATAGCACCGTCAAAAGATTCGGACGGTTTAAACAGACGGTTAAAACTACTTATTATCCCCAACAAATTCCTCTACTGTCACACTTTTTTTTTTTTTTAAATCAAGGTGTTCGGACTAACTTATGTACATCAACTATCCTTAATGGAAACTAATGCAATAGCCCACCACCGACCCCTCATTAAATCTTGGAGCTTAAGAGATTCGAACCTAAAATCATACATCTTAATATATATCTAATACTCATCCTACCACTAGTGCATCCTGTTACACATCTCTTAATGGAATCACCACAACATTGCCGCCAAGCCCACCGCCACCGTTAGGAGCCAAATTTTTTTTAAAAAAATTCCCTGTCCACCCTTGTTATAGTAGCTCCTCAAAAACAGTAGAAATTTGATCACCATGACAGCAACCAGCAGCACCACCGAAATTAGCCAACACCACCAACAAATTAAAAACCACACTGACAAGAATTGGTAATGAAGTGTGATGTTTCCGTGTATATATAGAGTGTGAGATGAAGTGTTTTCCGGTTTCATTTTAATTTTGAGACTATATCAATTCTTGATTTTTAAAATCCTTTTGTGTAGGGTATTTTAGACTTTACATAAAGATTATTTATTAGCTAGGGTGCACTTGGGGTTGTTGTAACTTTTCTTGTAATCTTTTATTACTTCGTTGTGGGACCAATGAGAAAGTGAGAATGAGAAACTTTACGATTCCTGAAATTGAGAGGTTTTAGGTTAAACGATTGTTTTAATGTTTATTTTGAGGTCTTAGTACAAGGTAACGTTGAAAGTTGAAACACAACAGTTTAGATAAATTGAAAGTTTCAAGGGTAATTAATTTTCTTTCACTTGTTTATTAGTTTCACGAGTATAAGTTTACATTCATTCGTTTACTTTTACTTTTTTTTCTATTTAACTTTGTGGTTGATGTTAAATATAATGAACAAATTATTTAGTTGAATTGTCTATTTATTTAACTTTTTTTTTTTGGTTGGGCCAATGTCCCAGAACAAGCAAAATTTGCTTGACCAATTTTTTGCTTGTGGATTTAGCCTAGGTAATAGTCATTCTTTGGTTCTTTTCATTATTCTTTGGTAGATTGGTTATATCTTTGTACTTCTGTATAGCCATACTGAATCATAACTCTTTGGGTGTTATGGAAATGGATTAGATGCCTTCAACGTGAAGCCAGAGTAAATGTGCACCAATTGAGGTGAAGGCAGATTTCACTGTAGACTTCACAAGCATTTTGGTATTGTCGAATGTTTTGTGCCCATTATTTCTGTTCTTCAAATATAAAAGTAATAATTTGCAGTTCTATTTTTTTTTTTTTTTTTTTTGGTTATGCAGAACAGAAACCCTGGAATACCCTATGATCTTGGAGGAGGGAAAATTAGTGTGGTTGCTTATTGACCCATGGTATTTGGCACTAAATTTTGATATACATCTCCCAACATTGAGAGGTCTGAATTCTTGGAAATCAATAGCAATTCCTCTTTGGCATACTTGCTGGAATACAAGCCATTTGGCACTACTCTAAACAACTTAAGATCAGTAAATGTCCCGATCTTGTTCATCTTCACCTGCTGGAACTCACCTCTCTGAGTCTTTGGAGTTCAATAGTTGTTTCTTTCTCTCTCGCTCAATCCTGTTGAAGATGATGATATCTTGCTGGAAATGATGAAGTCAACACACGGTGGGAGTTGCAGATTTTGGTGCCACGGTTTGAAATGCTGCTGTGCATGCAGAAGTTGTTTTTGGTCACTGTTTAAGAAATATTTCAGTGGTGTGTTTAGGTGAATTAGGTTTATAAATGATGGTTTTGTATGTTTGTTACGTGCATTAGTTGGTGTGTTTAGTTTAATTTTAAATTTGCAGCTTCAGGTGGACAATCGATGTGTTGTATAAAAACTACTCTGTTTTTTGAATGTAAAACAGAGCAATCAGTTCAAATTTTCTCTCTCTACAACTCTCTCTCACTTCTGATTTGGTCCTTTTTCCTCAGTATACTCCAGCTCTAAAACCAACAATTGGTATCAAAGCTGTTGTGATCTTTCAAGCTTGGAAAAACAAAAACCTCTTAACAAAACTCAACACCATACATAATTATCTTATGGTAGCAATTCAGCTTCACTTTCTCCACCCACCTTCAATGGAGATCAGTTCCATGTATGGCTGTCAAGAGGAAGACTTATTTAAGAGGCCATGGGTTATGGCATACGTGGAGGTAGAAGCAAGTTCCTCAGTTGGGAGCAAACCCAACACTAACCAAATCAGGATTCATGAGAGGAGATGTCTAAAGCACCAAGGGCCTTATCTTACAACATTCAGCAGTGCAAACCAACTCTCACTGGATTATGGCGTGTGAAACTCCTAAAGAGGCTTGGGATAAGCTTAAAGAGGAATTTGGGAGCAGTAATACAAACACGTAACATGCAGATTCTAAACCTGAGAAGAGAATTTGAGATGCTTAAGATGCAAGAGGCTGAGTCTATCAAGGAGTATATAGATAGGGGATGAATGGGGTGAATAAGATTAAGCTACTTGGTGAATAATTGACTGACAAGAGGATAGTAGAGAAGGTTTTGGTCAGTTTACCTGGAGATTTGAGGCAAAAATCTTCACTTGAAGACTCCAAAGACCTGTCCCAGATCAGCTTAGCAGAACTTGTGCATGCTCTTCAAGCACAAAAGCAAGGAGGTTGCTAAGGCAAGAAGACTCAAGTGAAGGAGTCATGATAGCAAGCCAAAACAGGAGGTATGCTAGAGAGAAGGGAAAGGAGGAAGTTAACAACGAAGGAGGAAAAAATGCGAGACTAAGAAACCTTTCCTCCTGTCCTCATTGCA